CCTCTTCCGTCTTATTCGCTGGATCTGGTGCAATGTGACTTCTACCTCTTCCTCAAAGTCAAAATGACCATGAAATGTAAATGTTTTCAATTGATTTAAAATATCAGACAACCATGACAGTGCGACTAAAGACTTTCACAAGGGAGAACTTCCAGAGTTGCTTCAGAAAGGGGCAGGGACAGTGGGATAAGTATGGTTGAAGTGAGAGGGAGAGTTATCAGGGAGTTTAATGGCAGTGTGTCTTTTACTGTAATAATTTTTTAAAAAATTTAAACATTCATCATATTTTGACCAGGTCATACTTTGTTGTAATTAAAAAATGCCATGGGGGGGTGATAGAAAGTTGCCTGTTTGCTGGTAACCTAAACCTGTGTGCATTTACTAAATTCTTAGTATTTATTTTCTTCCTCGGAGGCCATTTAGGAAATAAACAGATGAGAGCTTCATTAATAGCATGGTATTTTAACTGATTTACAGGGACATTTTTCTTCCTTTGGCATCTCTGGGACATGGGCAGCTTTTATTGTTGCTACTTCCGACAGCATATCCATTGTGACTGACACTGGGGCTATTACAACCACAGGTGGCTCTGAGATGGGCTTCCCAGACCGTGGAGAAAGGCAAGTTGCAGGCTCTGACTGTTTTAATCCCAGTGTCCTGGGAGAGCAAAGAGTGATGCAAGCTATTATTGAGAGCCCACAAAATGGCCGACTGTGCTATGCAGTTTATATAGTAAGCCCCGAACAACACTTGGAGTGTGGTCCCCTATTACTCTTTGGGGAAACTAAGTCCTGTTCTGAGATTCCTTGACTACTAAGTGATTTGGCAGCAAACTATCAAGGAAGTACCTCAGAAAGTACCTGCAATTTGTCCAACACAGGCCACCATATTCCCTTGTGGAGGTTAATAAGTGGATCGAGGAAGGAAAGATGTATGGAGTGGCCAGGTAAGGTGTGTGAGTCTACTATTCATTTGTAATAAATGGCCACAAACTCAGTAGCTAGAACAATACAAGTGTCTCATCTTATAGTTCTGGAAGTTAAAGTCTGAAGTGGTCTGTACGGGCAGATGTCACTATGTCAACTCTCGGGGCCTTGTTTGCGTCTTCTGGCTTCTGGGGGTGCCTGGGATCCTTTGCTCTGGGATCCTTTGCTCTGCCCTCACAGCTGACAGTTGCTCTCTCTCTGGCTCCTTCCTCTCACCTCCTTCTTTGGCTTGATGCCTGTTCTGCCTCCTCTTTCAGTTTTAAAGCTCTTGCTATCGACCTCCTTGTGTCAAGGTCACCTGATGAGCAACCTTAGTTCCATTTACAACCTTAATCCTCCTGCCGTGGAACTGAACATACTCGCAGGTTTGGAGATTAGGATGTGGACATTGCCACCAGCCATTGCTCTGTCCGCCTCATCAGGCGTCGCTCCAGGTGTGAAATGTGTGTGTCTGTCTCAGGGCAATGAGGTCATTTTGTTTTCCTGAACATGTGATGTGGCTGTTTTTTGTTGTTGTTGTTTTGGCTTTTTCTCCCACCTCCAGTACTAGGAATTAAACCAGGACTTTCACACTGAGCTATATCCCCTGCATCCCTCTCTTCCTTTCCTTTCCTTTCCTTTCCTTTCCTTTCCTTTCCTTTCCTTTCCTTTCCTTTCCTTTCCT